TTGGTCAAATTATTTTTGTCTTGTGTAAAATGGGAAACTTGCTTTCCTACTTGACGATGCCATCCTTTCTGCAGGTGACAGTTATTCCAGAGTGGTGTTCTCGTCAGCTGAAGGGAAGAACCTGTGGAGTATTCAGGCCATCAAATCCATGTGCAATCTGGACAACGCAAGAGTATGCTGGCATCATTCCAGTCGTGTGAATGTTTTTCTGTTACACTTCTGCTTGTTTTCGCGTATTTATTCATTCTTTCCGTCCTCAGGTGCGTTCCCACCGGGACTACTGGAATCTTTGTCAGCGCACCAATGCTGACTCCTGCTGCCCCAGCTGGACGCTAGGCAACTACATCGCCGTCCTCAACAACAGGTCATCCTGCCAGAAGATTACAGAACGAGATGTATCGCACACGCTCAAGATCCTGCGCTCGTGTGCCAAATACTATCACAACGGCACTCTGGGACCCGACTGCTGGGACATGACCCTGCGGCGGAAAGACCAGCTAAAGTGTGCCAGTGTGCCCCGCAAGTGCACCAAATACAACGCCATCTACCAGATCTTTCACTTTCTGGTCGACAAAGACTTCCTGAGTCCCAAGAGCCTGGAGTACCCTCCGCCTGTGCTCAAGTACAGCATGCTCTTTTCCCCCACGGAGAAAGGCGAGTCTATGATGAACATTTACCTGGACAATTTCGAGAACTGGAACGCCTCCGACGGCATCACCACGGTCACAGGGATCGAGTTCGGCATTAAACACGACCTCTTTCAGGACTACCTCCTCACAGACACGGTGTATCCTGCCATAGCCATAGTGATCGTCCTGCTGGTCATGTGCGTGTACACGCGGTCAGTTTTCATCACGCTCATGACAATAATAGCCATCATCAGCTCGCTGATTGTGTCATACTTTCTCTACCGAATGGTTTTCAACTTTGAGTTCTTCCCCTTCATGAACCTCACAGCCCTCATCATCCTGGTGGGTATCGGTGCAGATGACGCCTTTGTGCTTTGTGACGTGTGGAACTACACGAAGTTCGATAAGCCTCACGCCGAGCTGGCAGAGACGGTGGGCGTGACCCTTCAACACGCGGCGCTCTCTATGTTTGTCACCAGCTTCACCACTGCTGCTGCTTTTTACGCCAACTATGTCAGCAACATCACTGCCATCCGCTGCTTCGGAGTCTACGCTGGCACCGCCATATTGGTCAACTATATTTTAATGGTGACATGGCTGCCCGCCGTGGTGGTGCTACATGAACGCTACCTGCCGAACGTGTTCCTCTGCGCTAAGCCTCAGCACCAGCAGACGGGTTGTTGCACGCAGATGTTCTGGGCCGGTCTTTGCCAAAAGGCCAACAAATGCCTCTTCACGGTTTCGGAGGTGTCGAGGATATTCTTCGAGAAGGTGCTGCCCTGCATCGTCATCAAGCTCCGCTACCTCTGGCTCTTCTGGTTCCTTGCCATGACCGTGGGCGGGGCCTATGTGGTTTGTGTAAACCCAAAGATGAAGCTCCCCTCCTTGGAGCTGGCAGAGTTTCAGGTCTTCAGGTCTTCTCACCCATTTGAGCGCTATGATGCAGAGTACAAAAAGCTTTTCATGTTTGAGAGAGTCCATCATGGCGAGGACCTCCACATGCCCATTACCATCATCTGGGGGGTGACCCCTGTGGATAATGGTGATCCCCTGAACCCCAAAAACAAAGGAAAGCTGATGCTGGATAGCAGTTTCAACATTGCCAGTCCAGCATCTCAGGTCTGGATCCTCAACTTCTGCCAGAAAATGAGAAACCAGAGCTTTGTCTTTCAGTCCGAAGAGCAGGACTTCACCAGCTGCTTCATCGAGACGTTCAAACAGGTCAGTACTGCATGTGTACTCGTGATATACGGAGCAAACTCAAACCTCAAGAACCTTTTTATCAATAAAATAATAAAGTTATTAAACCACAATTGATCTCCAAAACGATTACTCTAAGAGTTGAAGACATTTCTGCTGTTGGTGTTCTCCTGCCGTTTGTTAAATTCTCACTTGGACTGATTGACTTCATCAGATTAAACTTTCTTACAGTCGGCTAGCATTAGCTTATCTGCTATATAGAAAAATGACTTGTTATCTGGTCTTCAAGTGAAACGCGTGAACCCTGCTTCCAGGTCCAAACTGCTCTGCGTTTATTAAGGCTGTTGTATCCTGAACGAGTCCCTAAAAACAGTCAGTGATCACTGTCGGCCTCGCTCGGTTTTTATCACCACTGTTCATTTCAAAGCTCAGTTTTTAAACCTTACGATGTAACTGCAGCCCAGCAGCAGTATATGAATGACTAACCTCGTATTGTGGATTGATCATCTCAGTTGTTCTCCTGACTGAAGTTTGGTCCGTTTACAGCATCCTGCCATGCGATTACATTTGTCTCTAACCATCAGGAACCCTCACGTTAACTTTTA